CGCACGTAAGCCCCCAAAAGAAACATACGGCACGAGGCGACCATCTTGATTGCCCCTGCAGCAACTATGTCACTAATGACATGTTTTGTTGTCATTCCCGATTTATTTATTTTATGAAGTTATAGTTATGACCAGGGCTCGAGACTTTGCATTTAAAATCCACAGAAACGAGCTTAAAAACATCAAAAGCCCTAAGAAAAAAAAAAATGCTGAATAACAAAAATGACAGAGGGCTCAGAGGAGTTTGAAATTTCCACCTTTACCCACCATAACTAATCTAACCATAAAATGTAATGTTATAACACTGCAAAAACGATTAACAAAAAATATTTTTTTTTTATAATACTAACAATTCTTTTTCAAAACTTGTGTCAATCATTTTTGCAGTGTTTGAAAATTGAATTTTAATAGTTAGAGCCGTTAGAGGAGGGAGAGGGAACTTTTAAAAATATACTATAATTTTTTTGTTTTTTTAAGGCCGTTTTCAAGACTTTTTCGACATTTTCTATCATTGTTTTGTTGATTTTAAGTGCATAAAGTCCCGAGCCCTGGTTATGACCATTTTTTTAACAAGACTACTGGAAAAGTTAATGAATAAACTATTTAGGTTAGGTTAGTTTATGCAGCACATAGTATAATATCGAATTCCTAAACTATAATAAGTTATTTTAAAATTAGATACTTAAAAACAATATGGTTTTTTGGGGGTTTATACTTATACGCAGCTGTTTGCCCGCCGTATACTTTTGTTCCGTTCGATTTTTTTCATTTTTTTTTTTTAAACAATATAATGTGTATATATAAAATAACGATGACGATTTTTATAATATTTTATAATAAATATGTTAATGCGATTCATAATATTATAACGAATTCGGAAATTTAAAACGCTCAAAAAGTTAGCATACACTTTTTCTTATAAGGCATCTATACCTATTCGTGTTTAATATAAGCAGATATTGCTTTTGGGCACGCCACTGATGTTAATGGGTTTCTGAAAAGGAAAGATATTTAAAGTTATTTAATTTAATTTTGTACGTGACGATAAATTATTGCTAACTAAATACGATTCTGAGCAAGCTCAGTTAAACATGTTTCGGAATGCTGTGGAACAAAACGCTCGAAAATGTAAAATGTACCAACATTTTACAAAAAATCATTTGTTTTTAAAAACTCTACCAAGTATGAAAAAGACCAAGTATTGTACGTTTATTTTCAATCGAATTATATAACATTAAAATAAAACCGATGACAATAAATTTATTTTCATTGGCTGATTTTCTGATTTGAGCAAGATATCTAATAGAAAAGTTGTTCACAAACAGGAAAATTCAATATTCGTATTGAATAATTTATAATTAAACATATTTTAGTAAAACCAATACATTCCTCGCTTAGAGTTTTAAAAAAAAACAAAAAAAAATACAACACGTTGTGTTTTTTTTTTTTGTTTTTGACGAGTTTAAAATAATCGCCGACCGAAAATTCATCAATCAAACAGCTGCACATTTATTACATGGTCGGACCGAGCTGGAACAATGGCGTAACAATCCACTTTTGGTGGATTGAAAATATTGCGCCCTCCGCTGTCAAAAGGTACTTAAACAAATCTCATATATTGTACCGGCATACTCTCTTTTTGGACGTTAGATAATATGATCTTATAAAATCGAATAACATGTATTCCGTGTAAAACAATAGTTATTGAAAACAAATAATAAATTATAATTATTGGTATATAGTATTAAACTTATGATGCCTATAAAAAAAAAAAAAAAAAAATATAGGCAGTTTTAAAAACCGGAATCGGGCGAAATCACCTTGTCGTTGTTTCGTAGCAGCCGAAAGTCGACAAATTATTATTATTTCCGAAAAAAATATTGTTATATTTAATATGCATTGCGATTTTTACGACATAAACGACAACCGTTTTGTAAAATACAATTCTATACCATGGTAGTTTTATTGCTATGTGTTACGGATTTTCAGCTCAATCAATGTATAATAATATTATTCTCTTTACGACATGCAACGAGTTACATTTTTGTCCAAAACTACAGCCGGCAGTGGCGACGTGAGTATAGTTGTGCGGGTCTAAAGACCTGTAGGATTTTTTTTTTTTTTTTCAATATGTGTGTGGGTGGCGTGGTCATCTAGGCGGGTGTTGGATCTCTAACATTAGGCATGAGGTACATCGTAGCTGTTTAAAACTATTTAGTTGTTTTTGCGAAAGGCCGCTCATTTAATAATAACAACGAAATGTTAAAATACGGTAGCTTCATAATACTTTTATATTGTATAAAATAAAGAGGCGTGAAGCCTTTTGTATCAATAAATTGGCGGGTAAGTGGGTCAAATAATTTCGCGAGGCTCACTCATGTTGTATGTTCGCACCGCTATTGACCGTCGAGCAGGTACATTGAATGGAGAAGGGGCAATTTTACCTGTGGAAATTTCCATTTGGGAGATGATTTTATATTGAATCCATAAAAAAAAAATAATAATAATAATTGTAAAAATGTATTTAGTGAGTGTTTAACTATTATAATTTGGCGTTTTTCTCGGTTTTATTTATATAGGAACAAATGGGCATGCGTTCCAAACAAATTTTAAATTAAAAAAAAAAAACCATAACCATATTTTCAGAATGTTGTAATTTATTTTCATTCGTGTTCAAATTTAAATTTATGTTAAAATTCGTTAAAAACACGAACAATACAATTTGAATTTATTATTTTTTATTGCAAATTAATGAACATTTTTGCTGACTATACAATTTTATATAACGAAAATCACTTTTCGAAAAAAAATATTTCGGTGGTACCGTAGCAGGATCTAAAACGTGTCTTTTCGGGACGTAAAATATGAAAATAACGGCTTGGCCACCACTGCGCCAGAGCGAACATCGATTACTAAATATTTTACACACTTGTATTCGAATTTTCTTAGAAAACTAAAGAAAATTACTTTTCTTTTGAAAATTTAAAAAAACAAAACCGGAGAGATACCTAATCTATAAATTTACGGCATCACCGTCGTAAACGAGAATGTTTAACATTATAACTTGAATATTTCGCTGTGCGGGTAATGATGATAATAATATTATTATCGATCAGAGATGAGCTCGTTTGCGGCGTCTAGTCTCTTTTGATCCGATTCTGTTGTATAACAAGCGGTTATATTATAACAGTAATAATAATAATAATAATAATAATAATAACGAGTGGTGTGAGGCGCTATTGTGCAGTAACGGTTGAAGTTTGCGACACAGCAATAACTGCAGCAGAGGTGCGGCGGACACAGACAGAGGAATATTATATATAATATTATAATGATACGGAGATCAGAGAGAAAAGATATGGTTGTGTAGTGTTGTAGGCCAAACATTTTTCATCGTCCGTCCCATCGTTTACTTCTCTATAGGTACCTACTTTTATAATATCTCCATCCCGGAAGCGTCGGAAGTCTGTGTTTTTTCACGGCTGAAAAGGCGATGAAAAACTTATGACCGCGCACAGAGAGAAATTATTATTATTATTATAAATATTCTCTTCGTGGTCGGTTTTTGCACGGAAAACACTTATTAGACAAACGAAAGAATAAGATACGTATATTATATCTGACAGCAGCCGGCTCGGCAGCGGCTTTGATGTCGACCCAAGTTGGTGAGTTTTTTGGTCTTAAATTTAAAAAAAAAAAAAACCTGAAGAAAAGAAACTATATGTATATTTGTTTTTGTAAAATTAAATATTTTTTTAACGAGCGTTTTAAATTTTGCAATATACGATAGGTGATCCGACTAAACTCCGTCTATAGTCGTACTACGTTATTGATCGGACAAAATATCATTACGGTCGTTTTTTATCCATGTAATACGAGCGTTTAGATTATAAATGAAAATTACTTGCAGTAAACAAAATGTTTAACCGAAAAACACTTACGCCAATCAAAAACATCAAATTTATTAGGAGATTTCATGTAGCGTTTTGAAATTTGATGGTGTATTGAAAATATTATTTTTATTTTTTGATAATCTTTCCGGTATTCTTAATACTAGATAACTTCTTTGTATAAAAAATAAAAAATAAATAAATACTAATAATAATAAAAAAGAAATATTTATGTAATGTTGATTTTTGAAGTCAAAATCGACTGTTTTTATTTTGTTTGAAATCAAAGCTGAATGTTGAAATTTCGATAAAATGCATATACATCATAATAAATTGTAAAATTACAATTACTTTCAATTTTAATTACCTAGGAAAAAAATAATGAAAAATGTTTAACTGAACTCCATTTCACTGAGAATATTTTATTTTGTTCGCTTCGATTTCTTTTTTCTTCCAGGTAAATTATTTTCTCTATTTCGCCACGAGAACGGTCGCTTGCGATTATACGAACGGACGGTTTGGACAAAATAATTACTCCGATAAAGAACAATTTAAACGGTAAATAAAGGTCACATTATAAATTAAAACTAATTATTATTCGTTTTACTTTTACGGTTTTTTTTCCCCGACAGCGGTCGTAAATTTCAAAGTTAACCGAAAAGGAATGTACCGAGAATACCGCACTAAACGCGCGTTGTCGGATACACATAACGACCGAAAGGAAACTATAATATCTATTATACACTAAAAAGTCGGTATACGAGGAGCCGAGTTCAGGATATACAGTGGTAATTAAAAAAACAAAAAAAAAAAAAAAATAAATAAATAGTATATTGAAAGCAGCGAAATAATTCGTAGGATTCGAAAAGGAGATTACACAAGTATAGCGGTCGAATTATTAAAATCTTAACGCTCGCTTAGATTTATTCTCGTTATTAAATATTTTTCTCGGTTTTAATTAGGTTTTAAATTAATATAGCTACGTTGAATTGAACGTTCCGGAAATTCGCCTTGTACTTTGTTTGTGTGGAATTAAATTTACTATTTTAAAGCGTTTATCCACGCAGAATATTTTATTATAACCATAGATGTATTAATAAATCACTTCAGGCGGGCATATGATTTTACGGGTTTAGCGAACCCGAGGCTCCCAGTTTCTGCTGATGGAAAGCTCAGGTGGGTGATTCCAATTAGCGTGTGGTATTGTTTCTGGAGGGTAGAGGAATTTACTTCAGTTGTTAATAACATTCTTCATGTTAAAGGGGATCAAAATACTCCCGTGGCACATTCTACCTGTCGTGAGAGGCGACAAATGGGACAAATGCGGAGTTCTAAAAACGATTTTGGAGAATTGTCCGGTCATGAATGTGCACAAGGATAGATGGTGAGCCACCATGATGTTTGTAGCTAGATTAGCTTGGATAGGAGAAAATCTGGAATAAGTTAACAGTAATAGGCTTGAAGATTATAATGATGAGTAGAAGTAAAACAGAGCACGAGTTTGGAGGAAAAGGACAAGATATTTAACGAAAATAAGTGGTTATAGATGAGATTGAAAGTTTTAAGTACCTAGGATCTTTTGTACAGAAAAACGGCGTCTTTCGTGAAACTGCGAAACATAGATTTAAGTGTGGTTGAATTAAGTGTAGAGAACTGTCAGATGTTTTATGCGACAAGAAAATAATTCCAATAAGACTTAAAGTTGAGTTTTACAAAATGTGGTAAGACTGACTATATTGTATGGTTCGGAATGTTGGCTAGTCGACAGAAAGATAGAACAAAGAGTGAGTTTAGCAGAAATGAGGATACTTAAGTGGATCAGAGGAGTGATAGTAGGTAGGATAAGAGATGAGTACATAAGAGGTAGCTTAAGTGTGGCTTTGATAGTAGATAGGGCCAGCCGGTATATGCAAGGTGGGAGATCGGGTCAAATGGAAGTTTAAAACGAGGATGGCTCTTGTCTATGATGTCTGCGAACAATGTCGAACGAGACAAATAGTTAGGGGCAACTGTGGATTAAATACATACATAATTTTATCAAGCCGTAAAATTGATTATGAATACCCATAATCATATCAATACGATAGATAAATAAGCACGCGCAAATGCAAATTATGTGGATAATAGTCACAATAAATTGCCACGTAAAAATAGAAATATTAAACCATTTCTTCCATGACTGTATGCCTTCCTAACTAGCACTATTTCTCACGCTCAATATAGGTGCTCCCCATTGTCTGCTTAATGGCATAGTCCATATATAAACGTATCTATGGATACAACCAGAAACGACCCTTCGATAGGAATAAAAACAAATTATAATAAATATAAAATAAATACAAACGTAAAAAATATCAAAATATAAAGAAAAATAGGTCGCAAAATACACACGCGAGCATTCATAATTTTAAAAACGACCACTGATAATACCTTCGAAATAACCTCTGACTCCTCCACTCCCACCCCCCTTCTGGATACGGATTTTTTCGCAGTCGTAACGTACGCGCTAAAACACCGGCTGCGGCCGCGTCGGTATGGTTTTAGACGGCGCTCGGTTTAATCTGAAATTTAAAGTACACTCGAGCTGCACCGCGATATGCGAGTGAAATATCGTGTGTGTAGGTATTCGTATTAATATTACAGCGGATAATATCGAATGAAAAACAACATTTTTACTGACGACGACGACGACCGCGATGACGCGACGGCTCCCCCCTCCCCCTCTAGAGAACTAGAGAAACCGGCGGCGTGCAATAGTATCGCGATGACTATATCGTATAATAATACATACTGTTATAATATACCTATGCGCATTCCGCGTGACCTTTTCTAAAAAAGCAGCTACCGCCCCTCCACCCTTCCCATACACACACCTGTTCCCCATAAATTAACTGCATCGCTGGTAATGGTTCGCATCCAAATGGCATATTCCCACGCGTTACACCCCGTCATCGCTGCCGTCGCCGAGCGGTTTTTTAACGCCGGTATACGCTGTACGGTTATCGAACAAAAAGTCCATAATAAAAATAATATAAATAATAACAATAATAATGATCGGCTTTCGTATGGCCCATTATTAAGGGTATAAACCGTAGTTTCCGTTTTCCGTGAGTTTCCGCGGGAACGAGCCTAGGACTAAAATCGCGGAGGGGACAAGACCCGGGAAAAATGACTGCTTAAGTAGATTTTCGGTCTTAACGGCATAATCAATTGAAAAATCGTGGGAATATTGCGTATACTCTCAAATAGTTGTCCAAACAAACGAAATCGTCGTGTATATTATCATATGTATGTCATTAAAACCGTAATAGTAGTGTAAATTTAAATAATTCAAATTTTCACAATTGTCCTACGATTAATTTCTCCAAACACAATGTAAACTAACCGTTAGAAAGATATAAAATATCCCGTGAATTATAAAAGGGTTATCTAATTAATTAAAATAAAAAATAATATTATCTAATATACTGTGCAGAAACAGCTTCAATATAGTTTTTATGGTTTACTGAACCACTGTGTCTTTATCCTATAACTATCAGAAAAAAAAAATGTATAATACGTGAAACTTATAGCCGTACATTGGACGTAATTTTAAATAAACTGTATAACAGAATCGGTGGTTCGAAAATATCTTTATGGATTTTCACTTTTGTTTTCTGAACGATTATAGTTGGCTATAACCAAGGTTAGGTTAGGTTAGGTAACAGGCTATAACCTAACCAAACCTAATCTAACCTAACATAACAATGTATAATATGCATTGTACGGTATCGAATTGTTGTGTTAAGTTTTAATATTTTGGACAGGATGCCACATGTCGTTAGAATCTAGAAAAAGGGAAGGATTGCTCCTCATCCGATCTCTCTCCTTGTCTTGTCCCCAAGTTCACACGCGGTCATACGCAAAAAAAAAAAAAACAAACAAACAAACCGATAACGGCAAAATACAATAACAATTTTAGAACAAAAAAAAAAAAAAAACAACTCACGAAATCCATATTGAGTAATTATGAGATTTTTATAAACCAGAACCCGATTTTAAACGTCTGTGTCGGATTATAGAATCAACGTCACTGGCAATAATATTTAATATAAATATTATCAATATAATTTCCTGAATATTTTTAGCGTCGATTAGAGGTTTCAACGACAATATTATATTATTGAATATCGAAAAATAAAAAAAAAGGGCTGACACACTGATGGGCGTGGCATTGTTGTAAGTGGGAAGTTGGTAAGGCAGGGCATATAAAGTTATTTAATTTATATCTGTTAGCGCTGAAAAATAATTGCGAATCATAGCAAAGAAAAATGATTATTAACGAAATTCGTTTATATGTGATTTAAAATGCTTTAATATTTATAATTTTCATAGAAATTTTATTTCAAAACCATTAGAAAAAAAGTCGTACTTTACACTCTACTTTTTTTTTTTTTTGACCACTAAGTACAATTTATGATGAACTTCGTATTAAATTTTTAAGTATTTCTGTTGAATCAAACAGTTATAATATTTACAAGTACCTAACCTAATAAAATTAACTACATAAAAAACTAGAAAACATAAAAATGCCCATAATAAACAGCCCAAATATTGCCAAAATGTTTTTTTTTTTTTTTTTACATTTGACCACGTCTATTAATGGAAAATTTAAGTTTTTTGTCAGAATTTAATGTCTAAAAATATGTTGAATTGAATAACAACAAGAAAACAAAAATGAAAATAATAAAACCATTTTTTCCGTTAACTATTTCCTGTTTTTTTTACGATTTTTTTCAGTTTCGCTCAATTATTATGATAACTCCTCGGAAAATCAAAAAACTACTTTTATTTATCTCAACAGATTCAAAATTTAACAAAAAACTTTTCTGTACGAAAAGTCGTTTACAAAAAAAAAAAAATGTAAAACTGAAAAAACACACATTATTGTGAAACCTTTCTCCGCTCCGAATTTAAAACATTTGACGACGATTAAATGCCAACAAGTCGCAATAATATACGCGGGGGGGGGGGATCAATGTTCGGCTCGCTAACATATTATTATAGTATAATGAATTATGTCTGAGTTATAATAGTATAATATCGGACGGCGGCTGGTTAAGTGCGGGGACGATAAAAACCGAAGAAAAACACACGTTGTTTTGTAATAAGAATGCGCAGTAGTCAACAAAAGTCCAGTAAGTGCGCATAGTGCACCGTTTTTATAATAATAATACATATGATGGGTGCATTTGCGAGCGCTGCGTGCATTTGAAACAACAATAACACAAACTGACATCTAGTGGAGAGTAAAACCTTTCATTTATTCCCTCCCATCCCGTCCCGAACCTAACGTATGTCTGGTCGCGTAAATACAGGGCGCTCCACTTGTCACAACATAAAATAATAGTAATATTATTATTTGCGAAAATGATTAGATTTCGATTTTGTTCGGAATCGAGACATTATTGTATTATTATTATTATTATTTAGTGCGGTATGTGTATCAAAAAGTGTTTGTAAACGAACGTTCTGTTTTAGAATGGTCGTTCTTGTATAATGCGTTAGTTGCAGTTTGTTTATAAATCCACGTCAATATGCAGTTAATACTTGCGGAATAAGGGTTTATTTTTTAAAAAAAGTATAAATATAATTATATTGAACGATTTTTCACGAGTAAAAAAATCCCGTAAAATCAAATTCTACAGTTCGTGTCTTGTGATAATATTAATAATTATATATGCATATTGTGCAGCGGTGGATTAAGCGATTTGACGCAAAAGTAAAAGTTCACCAATCTCTTTATTCAAAATCCCTTCACTATCGTAAATTTTTTATATTAAAAAAAAAAAAAAAAACACAGAGAAATAATGTAACGATGTATTGTTGGTAATTAAATTATTATTTATTATTTCAAAACAAATAAAAAAGTAAGCAGGCGTAAAACATGAACGGTATAGATAATAATCAATACATAAAAGTCTTGGGGTAAAAAAAAATACTCCCATACACAATTTAAACTATAATTTATTAATACTGTTATCTTAAAAAGTCATAACTTTTAAACATTTTAACATGGGTGCACAAAATAAATCTTTTTTTAAATAATGTCGTTATTTATTACTAGAAAAATTAGAATGAACCCTTAAAATTGTTATGCAAAATCAAATAGCTGACCTAATAATTTTTTGGTGAATGAAAGTACACAGGTTAGGTTAGGTGCAACGTTTTCCGCATTATTTCTTGAAGATTTTCTCCAAAAAACATAAATGACGGATAGTTAATTGGCGTTTCACGTCGATTTCCATAAAAAAGAAATCTACATAAAATCATCGGCTCAAAATGTCGACCAAAATCTCCGACCGTTTGTCATGAAAATCCGATTATTTTTAAAATATTATT